GTTGTCAGTAAGCTTGATAATCATGACTTCACCGTGTTAAGTGGTCGCACAAAAACTACACGCGCGGGGTTGCGACCAAACCCCGCGAACACTTTTTGTGACGATGATGTAGCATGCATTCCAAGCTTTGTCCTTCACAAGGTCTTGGTTGAATACTGGGGGTCTGGGGTTGGTGTTATTGCATTCCGACACAAATGTCGGAAACAACAACAACTTCAACACCGGAAGATACCACTTGGTGCTTCTGGAGGAACAGGGGATGGATCCAGCTGGTGCAAACTACCACCACCAGCTGAGGGATATCAATAGACTTGGAATAGGCTTGGTTACATTGCTTGGTTGCTTTGTGAATGGAGCCAAGGAGGAGGATTTTCCCCTTTGGAAGGGGATGTCACCATGGTGTTCGGATGCCCGAAGGTGCTGTTCAAGTAGGAATGTACRTAGGAATCAGTAGGAATTCTAGGTGATAATTTTCATAACTGAAGTGTAATTTCGTGCATTTGAAAAAATTCAATTTGAAAATTATGGTACCATGAACACAATGTATTAACAACATTTCCTCCTTGTGGAACTAATTGAGAGCAATAACTCCTGTGAGGAGGACAGCCCTAGTAACAACAGAAGATACTGCAAAAAGCAAGAAGTACTAGAAGGAGCAAAAAATCAGCAGCTCAAATTAACACCAAATTCCCTTGTGGGAGAACTATGCAAAGATGCCTGGTGGTATGGCGTTGGTGTAGAGAAAAAGGATGACTAAGCAATTGTAGATTTTAAATGGTGTGTATCTGTACACAAATGTTGATCAATATCACTACTAGGACCCTCCCCCCCCATACAACTAGAATCCTATTGTATAGCATTGGCCAGCCAATGTACGGTTTAAACCTTGGATTGTTTTTACTACTACCACTTATTTTGATTATGATTCCACATTCCTACCGTATGAGAAGTCGAGAGCTTACTGTACTTGGAAACCCACCTTCTTGATGATTTTCTTATCGTCGAACAACGAAACGTCTCTGGGGTCTATTTAGTCAAACTGTTTTAGTCTCAACTTGAAACTCATCACACGCAGGCCAGACCGTATTAATTGCTGCGTTGTGGATAGTAAACAATGAGACTGGGTTGAGTTTGAATTTTCTCGCGCTCATTTTTTGATCCCTCACGGTATGTATTCTGTGCTAAACTGTACGAGTACTACGTACTTCTTCCCAAACCACGGCATTAAGTGATTTGAAAGCACAATGTTCTTTCGACATGTCGCGGACATCATTGTGTCTGTATCATGTCTTAAGACAAAAAAATAATGTTCTTCATGACAAAGAATGGGGAATCAACGACAGCGCGCTGGCCAGTTCAGATTACTTAGCTGCCTTAGCGCAGTTTAAAGAAACTACTTCGGGGAACGAAGAGTATTATTGTATTATGTTTTCCAAATTGATCATTGCTCTAGCGTAAATGCCTTGATGTAAACTGTCTTCTGCTCTTCTGACAACTTTTTTTTATTGAGCTGCACTTGCAATAAACGGTGCCTCTCTCCTCCGTTACGCATCTAAATTATCACTTTTTTTGACTATTATTTCTTTTCAAAAGCTTTAAGTGGCGTGTTTAACACCCGAAAACACACTTAAATAGACACACCATATCACCAGATCTACTCTTATTGACTTACGAACAAACAGCAATTAAGATTTCGGAACACTCGCTTCCTCTCATATCTTTCTTATCCACTTGCCTTTTTCAAAACCTGGAGTTTCCAAACGACGACGGCAGGAAGTAAGTGACCGAACCTTTCTGATGGCCTTTTAACATACGAAAAACAAGGGTCTTGGCACGTTGTACTGAAACATCGCAGACGAATGACTGGCACAACTCTGATCGTTTCTCAACTGCACCAAAATGATTCTATCTTTCTCTCTATGCTCAATGAAAGCCAGCCAACAACCAAAAGAGCCATTTCAACATGTCGCTAATCACCGACGACAAAGGCGGTGATAATAATAATAACGGCTTACCGGACATACAGACCGGATCTGATCCGAACGGATTAGTAGCGAACCTAATGGGACTCCAGCAACAGCAAAACTCTACTAACGGCTTGCAGGCACCGAATGGTAGTGATGGAAATGCAAATGCTTCGTTAATGGGAGGAATGACCGGGGGCATGATAGGTGGCCAAACTGTTACTGACGGTAATGCTGACATGAACTCGTTGTTGGCTCAACAACATGCTCTCATGGCAATGGCTGCTGGAGCAGGTGCCGGCGCTGGCCCCGGCGTTGGAGTAGTTTCTGGGATGGACAATGGCTCGAATAAGGACGCTTTGATGAACCTCCTTGCAAAACAAGGTAAGTCGTGCATGAAAACATTTACTCTGTATTTGATCGTCTTCGTATTGTACTTTTAGTGACGAACGTTAATCTTCCCTTCGGACTGTTGACTGATTTGTTCCCTCTGTTTTATTTGTGAAGGCCTCGGTGCTCCGATGGGAGGTATGAATCTTGGACCGGCACCAATTGGAATGGGAAATGCTATGGGGTTAGGTGCTGTCGGGGGTTTTGGAGGCATTCAAAACAATCCTTTGGGGGGTATCGGATCTATCGGAGGCCTTGGTCGATCAAATGGTAACGGTATCGATAATACGATTGTAGCACCCATCGACAATACGGGAGGCCTTTTAGCAAACCCAGTATTGAGTGGACTTTCCCCTGGTCTTCAAGGAAGTCTGCAAGGAAGTTTGCAAGGAAGTCTACAAGGGGGGCTCCAGATGGGAATGGGTGGTATGGGCGGAATGGGTATGTTTCAGCCTCTTGTCTTTGTTTATTTTCAAGAAAATGGAAGAGGGTTTCCCCTCATTCTTTTTGCTGTTCATTGATGAGTTTATTATTCACATTTCTGTAGCCTGAAACTCACATTTTTCAAAACGATTAAATTTCAAAACATTCGACATTCTCCTTTTTGCCATGTATAGCCGGACTAGGAATGCCAGGAATGGGAGGTATGCCTGGTTTAGGAGCTGGTGTTGGTCTGATGGGTTCTGCATTCGGTAACAACTTTCCCGGAGTTCAGACGGGGAATTTCGGTGGCAATGGGAACGACAAGGACGGCGAAAATTCAGCCCAAAATGGAATATCTGCCGATGCTGCAATTAGCAGCTCTACAAATCCCATGCTTCAGCAAAATCTCCTTATGCAGCAGCTACTAGCTCAACAGCAAGCAACACTCGGAGGTACCGGATCTCTCTGGCAACAATGTGCGTTTATTTGCTTATTTTGAAATTTATTGACGCACTTTTCATGTTTCGTTTTTGTTGCTTTTCTAGGTGGAGTGGAAAGTGAATTTTTTCATTGTGTTTTGCATCTCACTTTTGTACATACTTGAAATACTCTTTTCGTTTCCTGCTGTATGGTTCTAGACGGTAATTTACCAGGAGCGGAGGGTTTGCTTGGCGCTGCAGGAACAAATGGCGTTCCTGCTAACAACTATCTGAACATGCTCGGTCAAGGAGGTGCTAACAATGCGACGGCAACCCCCGCAACAACTTCTCAAAGAGAACCAGGAGAATCAGGGGTTTTTCAGTCTGGGTCAATTCCAGAATTCGCGAAATCTGGGAAAAAGGCTAGGCCAAAAAAGCCAAAGAACAAACCTAAACGTCCTTTGTCTGCATACAACATCTTCTTCAGAGATGAACGGGCAAACATTCTCGCAGGGATTCCCGACAAAGACGAAGATGATGAGGATCAGAATGAAGATCACGACGATGGATTGGATGGGCCAAAGAAGAAAGCTTCTGGCAAGAAAAGGAAGCGTCCACCACACGGAAAGATCGGTTTTGAGAGTCTGGCGAAAATCGTTGGGCAGCGCTGGAAAGAACTAAAACCGGACGAACTTGCGAAATACAAGAAGCTCGCCGATGTGGACATGGTGCGTTACAGGGCGGAAATGGAATCTTACGTGGCAAAGCAGCGTGAGGGTTTAGAACAAAGCCGCGAGCACCTGGACAACCTTGTCGACAACGATGGCAAAGGTCACTTTTTTGGAGACAACTAATCTAAATAAAAACGAAATATATATGTCTTTTTGCGCTTGCACAGCTAGAACTTGGTCGTTTTCATTTTTTGTCTTAAGGAGTGTTAATAGTGACAAGAAGTAGTTGCACAATTCACATTGTTGTAACCCACTTGATAAGTCTTCCATATATTTAAAGAGAATACCAAGAAATAGAGGAGAGATAACGTCATAATGAGACGCATTTGTCTACTCTGATCCTAGATGCTTCCCAGCGGTGTATCGGATCCGAATAAAAAGGCGATTTAAAGAAACTCCGCGAATTCGACTAACGGAACTGAAAGCCCTTGGTGCCACTATACGCTCAACCCATTGCGGAAAATTAGGTCGGGTAGAAGATCTCCTGCATCAATGTAATACTATCACCAGAATCTACCGGTACCGCGACGAATTCTCATCAGTCGGCCGTTTGACATTTGATGTCATCGGACAAATTTGACTGTCCTTTCAGATAGCATTGTATCGATGTTGTAACTCATGGTTACAATTCAAAACGTTTTCTAGATGCGTTATAAAGGTTTTCTTATAACATCATACACACCAGATATACTATGGAAGAGAAACGATGGGTTCCAATAAGAAAATTTTGTAAGTGAAACGATGCGAAGTGGTAACGAACAATCGAATGTAACCAAAGGTACAGTTACATAGAGTCACGCGCACATTTTATCGTCGATTTTCCGACGACCTATCATTGTCAATTTTTAGCGTTCATCATACTCTGATGGGTTCAAATCCCCCATATTTTACAATTTTATGCACTTCAGAAGTAGGAATGGATGCAACTGCACCGGAACTCACATTTCAATAATTCGGTTTCATCAGCGGTGAAGATAGGAAGGAATCGTATTAGATCGGTTGTTCTTCTGCGAACATGCTAAGTTGTTTTGATTTGGAGCTTCATTCTCTAAGGTACTGGTAGGAGTAACAGTAACCGTATGAGATCTATCTGCCAAAAAAATAATTGTGGGTCCAATCGGTACGGTACGTACATTCTACTTACTAAGATAATTTTAGTACTCGTACGAGTACGTACAATACGTACCTGTTTTGCAGCATCATACGGTATGTACGGTACAAGTAACGGTAAAAGGAATGGTCAAAACCAATCCTAGATTTCGTTCTGTACCTACAGAAGTCTGTCCGTACACGCCATTGGAAAATAGTTTTTTTCACCATTAGCCATTCGATGATGTTGTGACATGTTGGCTGCAGGGCACAGAAGATGATGACTTGAGTGACACCTCTTTCAAAAAATCATGCTCAGTACCTTCTATCGATATGTTCGAACAAAAAATTCTTCCTGTTGCGCATCCTGCCATACCCGCACCGGTAACTTCGACTACGAGTATTGAATGGAAAGCCATTCTTTGTCAGCTCGTTCGGTGAAGGGGTACAACTGAAAAATTTATCGTTCAACATTCCGTCGAGAAAATAAATGTTCGTGATAGCCCTGATCCTGTTTTTCACAGTAGCACCGTCAATAGCATTTATCGAACGAGACAAGGTTTGTCGTCGTATCCAGAGCAAAAAAGCGGAACGTAAAGTAGTCCAAATGGGGAGCTCTCAAAGCCGTTCCAATGGAGCGAAGGATTTGCTAAAATCGATGGCGAGTCAGGCCAAGGATGTAGAAGCAAGCAGTAATAGAGAACGAAATCGTGAAAATGAATCTCCTGGGCTTTACGAAAATGACTGGAAGACTGCGGTTGAACAATTCAAAAAGAGTGTGTTGGATGCGTCCTATCTCCCGGTTCCTATAAGAGGGACCAGTGTCAATGCTGCTGAATTGTATCCTAGTTCCTTTCCCAATCAACCGGGCCTGATGCCAGGGTCTCACAAACATCTTGGAGGTGCATATGATAGTACTGATGGCTGTATATATGGGGTACCTGCCAACTCCAAATCGATTCTCTGCATGTATCCGTCAAAATCTGGAATAGACGAAGGAAACCCAGGAGTTGGCAAATGCGGATACGAAATGACAACGATTCCATTACCTAATCGCATTGTCAATCGTGAAATGAAATGGTTACGTGGAATTGTTGCCCATGGATATCTATGGGCAATACCGGCATGGGCAGACTCGGTTCTTTGCGTTGATCTTGATGCCTTTTGGGGACGACGTGATTTGGCAGAAGGCCAAACCGACGTAGTTCAATTGATTGCCCTTCCAGACGACCACCCAAAGAGAATGCGATGGCAGTGGCACGGAGCAGGTATTAACAAAGAGAAGACGGCGATTTATTGCATTCCCTCTAATGCTGAAAAAGTCCTGAAGGTAGATGTTGGGACGAAGACAACGTCCTTCATAGACATCGAATACGACGAAACAAAGTATTCAGACTTCACACTCGATGTGAAAAACAAATGGTACGGCGGAATTGTAGGGGATGATAATGCAATATACGGTGTTCCTTATCGAGCAAGTGGGGTCCTTAGAATTGACTCGAAATCAGACACTGCTAAGATCATTGGACCGAATTATGGAGTTGGCAATTATTTTTGGCATGGTGGGATCAAGGTCAACGGAAAGATCTATGGTAAGATTTACTTTGATCATCATCTCAACCCACGAACAGAATGTTCATTGCACCGCTCTGATACTGCCATCCTTTTTCTTCTATATTTTTCCGATCATAATTGCATTACAGCTCACCCGAGTCATGCAGAAACGGTTTTAGTAATTGATACAACAAAGGATGCTGAAGAGGATATAATTTCTGAATTGACGATCCATCGAGCTGAGTATGACTCTGATGATCGCAAAAAGTATAAGTGGCTAGGTGGATGTGTTGGGGCCGATGGAAATATTTATTGTCCGGCTTGTGATACCTCGTCTATTTTGAAAATCACGGTTGCGACAGATCATTGCGAGACTTTGGGTTTTGCCGGAAAGGACAAAAATAAATGGCAAGGAGGCATATTGGGAAGAGATGATTGCATTTACTGCATCCCAGCGGACGGATTGAACATATGTCGAATTGCAACAAATGTGGACATTGAAAACGGGAAGAATCCAGTCCAGTTGATAGGGAACTTGTCTACCCATAAAGACAAGTGGCAAGGAGCGGCGAAGGGAAAGGATGGATCGTTGTACTTTATTCCTGAGAATAGCTACAGAGTTATGCGAGTGACACCTCCAGTGAATCCCCCAAAAATATTGAACGGAAAGCTCCCCGAGGGTGATGTCAAGGTTGAATTGATGTAGGAAATTACGTTCCCAGCTTTAAGCACGTATTCAATATTGGATGAAGCATTTCGGCGGTGAATTATTTACAACGCGATAGTCTCACCACGAATTGTCATTCTTTTCCTACCGGGAGTTCACATTTTTAGGCCCATCAAAATAGACAGTGAAAAACATGAGTTATTCTTACAGTACGTACATAGTTTACACAAGATCCCAATTCGCTGAAGCAGCAGCGTTCTTTTTCGTCCTTCACAAGGGCACACCGTCGTCAATATTTTCCCAGTCATAGACTACTTCAAAAGGCTTTTTTTGTCGAGCATAAGAATTTTCGTCGTCTTCCATGTAGCTTTTGTCATCATCTCCACGTGCAGTACTCATACTTCCAGTTGACGCATCAGAAGGTTTGCTTTCTATGTTTTTCATCGAACGTCGTGACCAGTGAACAAACCTCAAAATTCTACATGCAATTACACCCTTCATGTTTCTCAAAAACATGAGATACTTGGGAACGTACTTGATGATAAGTCGCAAAAGTCGTTGTGCACCGACTCCGTGATGCTTAGTATGCTTTGCAACAGATCCAAACCATCTAAAGTGTTTCCCTCGCAAATGTGTTGTTACTCTGACAACAGCCTTGCTCCTGAAAAATGACTTCTTGAAAAATCCTCGTCGATTTTGTGTTTCAATAAGGGGCTTTACGTACAAAACTTCCCATGGAAGAAGGGACAAAATATCGATCGCAAACCATGACGTCAAGTAGCGGGCAACGATTTTTCGGGGGTCGCTTATTATCTTTCCAGTATTTGTCTTGCGCTCGGTGAAAAAATTAAGCAGAATATCCAATAAAAACCAGGCTTGGCAAAAAGAAATGAAGGGGGAAGGTTCAAAGCGGCGGTCCCGTATAGCCATGTGGGTAAAATAACTATGAACAACCGAGAGAATGACAGTCAACACATCCCAAATTATTTTGAATGGGTGTTCAATCGGAATCACCGACGAGGAACGAACTTTGTTTGTCTTTTCGCACAACGATTTACTGATGTGCTGAGTATTCCTAGGAGATGACTTGCGAATCGTGCGTCGTTTCATTTCATTCTTCATAAACCTAGGTTCCAGGTGTGCTATAGACAATTCTTGTCGCTCTTGACTGTTCCGTGACTCAAGGATCTCATCTTCACCAAAATAATCAACCATATTGTTTTTCAAAATGAATCCTTCGCTTGACCTTGCTCTCCTCCGTAAAGGCTGTGGACGCTCTGATATCCGTCTCCGTAATCCATGTTGACTGTCTAATGACAGTCTTGTGTTCTCTCCTTGCTTTCTGAGAAAGGTTTCTGATCTTCCAAAAGTTTTCAAAAATGGAATGTGAGGTACTGACCCGCCATGAGATTTTCGTCTTGACGGCGATTCCTCTGGCAAAATTTGGGGTTCCGGTTGAACGAAATTATTCGTATTACTACTTTCGATTTCTTTGTCCCCTTCCGGTTTAATTTCCTTTATCAAGCACTTCATCTTCGAGTCGCAAAGAGAATCGTCCGCATCAAATTTGTTTTGGGTAATATCTGTCGATTTGGGTTGTTGCGAATTGCACATTAAATTGCAAAACATTAATTGAAGTATTGTAGAAAGCACGAGTGAGGGATAGATTTGAATGCCTCAGATTCATCCAACAATGATTGATTCCTGTTTCGATACACGTTGGTTGACATTTCCAAATTTGTAACGATCGCTTCATTTAAAGACTACTACATTAGCATCTCCATATTGGACCTGCTTGACGACCCAAAACGAATTGAGAGATCAGACTCATCGGGCCAGACAAAGAGAAAACGAAGCCACATGACGGTACGAATACTCCTGTTTCCATAGTTCACCTGCCGTAACAAAAACTACAGTAAACTTTACTTACAGTACCACAACCATCTTCTGATCTGACTACCGCTAGGTACGAGTACTACTAATACTCGTACTTTGTACTGTAACAACGCGACTTAACGTTCGCGCCGGCCACTTCAATTTGTGATTCACTTTTAAAAACAGCTTCGAAAAGAACTGGAATTCCATTACTGTAATACGGTACGTACGTTACAAGTAGAAACTAGATTACTTTGACTAACGGCAACGCAACGGGTAGGACGGCAGTAGAGCTACTTCTACTAAGTACGTACAATTCCAGTGCTGGCAAGTTAAAGGCAATTTCCCGAGTGTCAATTTTTTTTTAATTTTCCCGTCATTATTTCCCCTCTCCCCCCTCCGCACAAAAAGTCCGAAAATATTTCTATTAGTGATCCTTACTACGCCGGATACAAAATCAGAGCTTATCCCCAGTATTAAGGACCACGAATAGAAATATTTTGGGACTAGCGAGAAATTAAACAATGGAAATATTTTTATTTTTGTCTGTTGCATGCCTTTTTTAACTGGTTTTAACTGTAAAAATGAGCTAAAAATTTCTATTAGTATTTGTACGGGGAATGCCAATAACTTGCCAGCACGGGAATTTATTAAACAATGGAAATATTTTTATTTTTGTCTGTTGGATGCCTTTTTTAACTGGTTTTAACAGTAAAAATGAGCTAAAAATTTCTATTAGTATTTGTTCGGAGAATGCCAATAACTTGCCAGCATGGGAATTGTAGTACTTAGTAACTCTAGATGGCAGGGGTCATAATTTAGAGGGGAGGAGTGCGACGCATATCAAAAACTCCTCGTCACAACAGCAAGAAAAAAAGAAACTCGTATTCCATTTGTGGACCAAATTAGGTCTTTTGCGGTACACTGCAAGAAGTGGAAGTCGAAGAACCAGACCTTTTTTGCACCTTTCACCACAGCACACCTCACCCACATCACCCAAGCAGCATTCCAGAGGCATATCAGCAAGTTTTCACCTGCCAATGTTATTGAACAAACAACAACCATTGGCAGGTTATATTTCCTGGAAGAAACAGTTTGTAGACCTTAAAAACAGCCATTGATTTTGTACTATGGTCTATGTTAGTAGTAAAAAAACTTCATCCTGGGTTTTTAGGTTTTCTACCCCCTCAGACTCCCCTTTCCATCGATAATTTCAGTTGAGAAAAAAATATTCTAGTATTTTTTCTTTTTGACTTCCATGGTTTCCAAGCCCCCCAGGATTTTTTAATTCTCATTTTTACTGCATGATACTAGTAGTAAAACTACTCAACTTTCAATTATGAATACTAACTTCATAAAAAATACTACTACTAGTAGTATTAAAACTTTTGAATAGTTGTTTGGCTGAACTGGAATAAAACTCCGAAAACAAAAATTGAGCAGAGTACAAAAACTGGTGGTGGTGGAATATTTCTTCTTAACTACTACTAGTAGTAGTACTAGGTTGTCACAATAAATTTTTGTTTTCAGCTGAGGAGCTGAATCTGACAGTGTCACTTTCTTTTATGGTATAATTATTTACTTGTATCAGCATCCTCTGTATTCAGCTTCCTCTGTATCAACAACTTGCATCCAGCTTCCTCTGTATCACCATACTCCTCCTTGATACCAACAATTCGTTGTATCAGGTAGCATCCTCTGTAGTATCAGCAAGAACTTGTTGTACCAGTGTCCTTGGTATCATCAACTCACCATACTTTAAGTGACTTGTTGTATCAGCATCATTCTCTGCATAGTGAATACAACAAGCAAAAAGCAACAAACAACAAAACAATTATGTAAATAATCAGTAAGCTGCTTAGCATTGGTCCTCTTTAGTAGTAACAATCAAACATTGGCCTCAGTCTTGAGCTAAGAACACCCTCAAACTTATCCTCAATTTGATTACTACTAGTACTAAGAAAGTAATTTAACTTTGGCCTCAGTCTTTGTCTGCTCTCAACACTTCATCTTTGGTTAGATTACTTTGTGTAATCTGCATGTATGCTGATTTTGTATCATTGAAAAATTCACTTAAGAAGGAAGATCAGAAAATTATGTGTGGTCAAGTGTGGCCAGCTTGCCAATTATATAACATACTCTTACTCTTACTCTCACTACTACTACTACTACTACTACTACTACTACTACTACTACTACTACTACTACTACTACTACTACTACTACTACTACTACTACTACTACTAC